GAACGTCTGAAGTTCGTACTGACCAAGAATAGGCGGTGTTCGGCGCATAGAGGCAACTTTCGTTCCCCATTTTTCGAGCTGTAGGAATCTAGCCCAGATGCGCCTAACTCGGAGTCAGCCAGTCTACTCTAGCATTCACATATCCTGGTAAATTCATGATATCATCCCGATTAGCTGGAGGTTGTATAGCTTTTGGTAGAAGGTATCTTTGGCTGCATCTAGGCTACAGTTAGTGGGTGCGTACGCTGAGACGATAAACGAATTGCGTCTTTCGAAGCAACGACTGTGTACCTTGCACAAACCTCTGAGTCTCACCTCGCGTAACCTACTTTCAACTGAAATCCACTCCAGGAGCGGGGTTCATCTCTCACTAAAAGCCACACCAATGCCAGCAAGACTGGAGGCCGCAGCCTCAGGGTCCCTAGAACGGCGTAAGTGAAAATTCGCAGATGGACTTAATGGGGACGTCAACCAGACGGTGGAGCTGGATTCTTAAATGCTAATTTCTCGGGTACAACAAATCGATGGTTAGGGTCTCGGGGGTACGAGATAAACAAGCCTGTTATCCTGTACGCATCAGAGTACGCACACCAAATGTGGCTAGTTTATAAGGACGAAGAAGGGCTTTAGCTGGTGGAGGATTCGGTGAGGCCTCGACGGTAGTCGAGGAATGACACGGCAGAACAGCGGCAGAGTTCCCATCTGAGGCACTATTATTTTTACGGTCGTTGGAAGAACCCAAGAGAGGTAGTGTTAGGGAAGTGAGGGTGAAATAGGGTAGGCATGAGTAGACATGAGTGTGTACGGTGTTGCATGGTTGTCACTCAGTAAAGAAACTGCAAACTTGCTAGACGTAAGATTCGAGAAATTCGTCATTGTATGTTGTGGGCTGTTGTACTACTCAGTCGCCCGGTCCAGATTAGGCCCTGTTTGAGAGTGCACTCTAGCCTTTGCGCAACCAAGGACGGGCTACAAGGCAGCAGTGATGTTCCAGATGAGCTGGTGGCCAGTATTTGCTTCGTTTCCTCATTCTGGAAAACCTTGTCGAACAATAGATTTCGATAAGGGGCGATGGCCATATTTAGTG